GTTGAAGTATTGTTTCCCCAAAGCCTGTGTAAAAAGGGAATTGCCCCCCCCCCCCCCCCTGCCCCGCGCTCCGTCCCGGCTTTGGAGGGATGCGAGGTCAATGGTCTAACGACAGAGGGTTGGTTGCGGTTGTTCGATATTCACCTTGAACGAGACATGCCAACGAGTGTGGGACGTAGTTATTTTCACGGTCGACGTTGGAAGCTGGTACGTACAGTAGTAAAGGTTGTTTTAGAGCTCATCGGGGAACGACTGGTTTGGTTGCCGCCATATGTGAGGGCAGTTGTGTTGGTTGAGCCCAGGCGGGGGCGTAGTTTGCTTGCTTTCCCATCGAGAAAGATGTGCGAAAGCGGCGGCACACATGTGGTACATGTCTGTGTCCATGTGCAGCTGTGAGGACACGAGGCCTAAAGAAGGACGTGGTGGCTTCCGACAAAAATAAAAAAGCGAAGCGCCCAGGAAGAGGGCGTGGGGGCTATAAATGCACCGTAGCGATGGTCATTCCGTAAGGGTAAGAATGGTGTTAGGTGGTCAAAGCGCTGATGGCGTGGGGACCCAAGAGGACGTTGGGATGGTGGGGTTTTTGTGGTGGTCGTTTGGAGCGAAACAACACATACATTAATGTGATTTTTACAGTGAAAGGGAAGTTGTGGTGGCCTTGCCGCCTCGCCTGCTGCAATGCTTGTGAGTGTCGTCAGCATCTGCTCGGCTGGCAGACTCGCGCACAAATGAGTGACGTCCGGGGATGCTATCGCTGCCGCTGCCGCCGCCGCCGCCGCCGTCGTTGTCGTCACCTTCGTTGTTGCTGCCGTTGTCTTCACATCACGGTTTTCTTTCTGGGCATTGCCATGGCCATTCCACCAAGATACAAACACGTTGGAGATGAATGTGCAAGAACTCTCAAAAGTCAGGGGTCATCGTTGTTGTCCACCACGTTGTACCCTACCATTACACCGACCGATTTCTTCGCACAACATACCCACGTGAATGGCCGCATTTTGTTTCTCGATCTCTCCATCACAGCGGTTTCGAGCGCTGACAGTCGGGCAATTCTGTGCGGCATGGTTTATTTCGGACAACAGCAGCAGTGTATGCGAAAGTTGGCGATCCATAATAGTGCTCCATGCGAGTGGTCCCAACCTTGGCACATAGTTGGGCAGAGGCAGCCAAAAACACATTCTAATTTACATACAAAACAGTTTTCGTTTGACGTGGACGCGCACGCCGGTGTAGAGATCTGGCGACGCTCTTCCGTTATTGTGCCCTTCTTCTTTCGGCTTTCGTTCTCCCAGATGATGACAAAGAGAGCACTGCAACCTGCAACCATGCCAAAGACTATGACTATAATAACCAGTTTAGTCATAGTCTTTGAACCACGCTGCCCGTCGCTTCGGGGGCTCGGCGAATCAGTCACGAGGTGGGGGAGCGCTGTAGTACAACAGTTGTGCCCCAACAGCCACCAGTCCACAGCAGGTGGGGTGCCCTGCTGTTGCCTGCTCTCTATCTGCAAAACAGGAAGAGGCCAGGGACATGGCACCACATGAGCAGTCTGCTCACGTGAAAGTAGGGCTGCTGCTGACGCAAGTGCGTGGCGAGTTCCTGCGCAACTCTCCTGACGAACCAGGGGGTGCTGCAAGGGCAGCCAAAGCTTTGAAACGAGCGTTTGAATTGTTGAACTGCCGCGACGAGTGCTGCCGCCGTCTGTCTGAAGGGTCCGGTGCTGGGGGGCTTTGTTACCTCTCCTGTAGTACGACAGAGGACGAGGGAAGACTGCTTGAGGAATCTCCTGGAGATGCAGGTAAGATGCATTCCCAGACGCGTGAAGCGGCAGTGGAACATGTGCATATTGTAGCAACCTTTTTTGTTTGTTTGAAGAGAGCCAGCGTCTCGTGGTCTCACACGCTTTCGACACACGACCGTGGCAAGCTGTACCATGGAATGGAAATTAACAATCAACACACCCATTGCAGCGGTACATATACAATGCCATATCTGGGGCGTTACGTACGGTGACCCCTGCGGAGTTATCCAAACCATGTTAGGTGATGTACTCTGCTGTACAGATTTGACGCCGTGACGTTGTGCGACGGGGAGGGGGGGCGTGGTATGAACCGACGTCGGTGTACGGTCGGAGCTACATATGTAGACGTGTCCTCCCATAAGAGATGCCGTTGCGCTTCCAAGGCGGATCACCCGCAACGATGCGCGCGTGCCTCGGCTCGTTATCTCCTGCCGCGCATCTTCCTCTTACCGGTGCTGGTGCTGCGTGCCCATTGATCGCTTCCGTTGTAGACGACGACAGAGGCGATGTTGCCAATGCCGAAGGCAGCGCTAAGGATAGGATGGCGTTGAGGACCGCCTTCTTGGAGTCTTCCTACCTGCCGTTTGCGTCGTTCTTGCTGAGAGAAGTGGGACCTCTGTGGCTGCCCGCCTGGGACAGGGCGGCATCGACGAACCTTGTTGCAACTCAAGGAACCGACAACGGCACTGCTGCTGCGGTCACTCGAGATGACGCCGGCAACAGCACCGGCGTGTGGAGCCCTGCCCCAAGGGACTTGTTCGAGGCTTTCTTCCGGCCACCGGCCGTGCCGCCGTCGCTTGCGCTGCTTGCGCTCTGCGAGGGACTCAGCAGGCAGGCTCCAGATAGAATCGCCACCAGCCAGCGGCCAACGTTGTGGCTTGACGGTACCCTCGACAGCAGTGGCATGGGTGGCCAGGCAGGAGTGCTGGTAGAAGCCGCCCCGGCACCGGACGCTCGGGCAGCTCAACAGATCTGTCGGCTCTTGCAGCCTTTCCTCAGGAAGCCTTCGGCGCTACAACCGCCGATGCCGCCACACAGCCGTGAGCCAGTTCCCCGTCTCGTCGAGGTAGTGGAGGATCTCGCCGGCGGCATTGACGTCTCCGAAGGCGAAGGCACCGAAACCAAGGGGGCAGACGAAGATCCCCGGAGAGAGCGATACGATGCTGAGGCCGGTCGTGGTCCTCCTCCTTTGGTCGGGGGCGGCGCAGCCGAGACGCTAGCGTCTCGGCTGCTCTGCCTCGCGCCGCAGCGGGTCGCGAACAGCCTCGGGCCGATCGCTCCGCCGGACTTTTCGCCCGCGGTCTTCTTTCCGGCGGTGTGTCGCGCCGTCGTCCGCGCGACTCTCAACGTCCGCTCGTCAGCGACAACCACAACGACAGCGACAGCGGCGGCAAATGCAACAGCGACGGGTGACGTGTGGCGGGAGTTTACGGGCCGTCTCCTGACCGCCGGTCGGGCGTCCGATCTCGCCGACGCGTGGCTCCGGGCAATGGTGGCCGGGAAACAAGACGATCCCGTCGGCGGCAGCGGCGGCAACGACGCCACCAGCGGCACACCGGCGACGGAGGAGACGGACGTAACGGCGTGGGAGGCCTGGGCGGAAGGGCCCGACGTCGTTCCGGAAGCTCACGCGTGGATGATGAAAAGACTGCCGGCGTCAAGGCGCAAGTCTTTCACGGAGGCCCTGTTGAGGGCCTTGTGGCCCCACAACGGGCACGGCGGCCGCCATCAAACTCGGTGGCAGCAGCAGCAGCAGCAGCAGCAGCAGCAGCCTTCGGGTCACTGGCCGGCCGGGTTTCCGACGGCCGCTTGCCGGGTCCTGATCGGTCGGCCTCTTCTCTCCGGGCGACGCGTCCCGAGATCACCGCGTGAGGAGGGTCACGGGCGGCGGCGGCCAGGAATCGGAGAAGAAAACGGCGGCGGGTGCACTGCTGTATCGTCGTTCTCGGCGTCATCTTCAGTTCATCAGAAAAGGCAACAGCAAGGCGATAGCGGCGACGACGACGACAACGCGTCGACGGCGGATATTTCCGTCGGCCTCGTGGAGAGGCTGCTGCTGCAGAGACCGCTCCCTGCTCCAGCGGCTGAGGCTATCGCCGACACCCTGGCGTGGTGCGATCGCCGCTCGACCTGCACGGTCGGAGCAGCAGCGAGGTTTGGAGCCGCTACGAGCGAGGCCGGCTGCCGAGAGGGTGAGGCAGTCTCGGGCCGGGGGCTCCTGATGGGCGCCCTGAAGAGAGTGGGGGCCGTGTGGGCGGAGCCATCATTCCTCAATAGGTCTCCGCTTCGGCAGCAGGAGTTCTACACCAGCTTTCTGCTGGCTGCTCTTCGCAGGTGCGTTGCGGTTTTGAAGGGGTACCCTGGGGTGGAAAGTCGGCGGATTAAGCGCACCGGGTGCAAATTGTTTTTCAGGGTTTAGACTAGCACCCTTCGGGGTGCGTACGTGTGTTGGTGTTACAGTGGCTGGCATCACGTTTAGGCTCGCGTTGGTAGATTCCTGTTGAGAGTTATTTCTAGTTGCAATGGTTGGAATTCCTTCGGCAATGAAGCTACACACGGGCAGGGGAAGGGTGTGCGATTGGTGCATCTATGATTTTTCGTTCTTTCTTTTGGCCATCGACCGGTCGTGACTTGTTTCCGTGCCATTTCGGAAACGCAGCGGCGGCTTAGACGGGCAGCTGGGCGGCGGCGTGGACGGCGACCAGGACACCCTCGTTATCCTCATCAGAGGGGTTGGGTCGCACCTTGACGTCCCGGTCAGAGAGACAAGGCTAAGGGGCATGCGCGTAGGAGAGGCGGTAGCGGCCCTTGGGGGAACAGAACTGCGTTTTGATGAGCTGGATGGGGAGAGGGAGGAGCAGCGACGGGAGGAGCCGCGGGGCGAGGGGCAGGGAGAAACATCGGCTGGGAAACAGGAGAGTACAAGTGGCGTCGAGGGCACGAAGGGCGGGAATAGCAAGGACGGTACAGAAGGCACGGTACGAGAGAGGCCAAGGAGCAAAAAGAAGAAGGGTAGGGGAGGGTCGAAGGGGCGCAGCGCGGCGCTTGAAGCGGAAGAGAAGCGAAGGCGGCACTGGCAAAGCTTACCAGCGAGTTTCGGGGGGGGCGGGGGTGGTCAAGTGGTGGGCCGAGGCGATAGCGACTACGACTCGGACTTGGATCCCGACATGCTGCTACCGCTGGGGGGCGCTGGGAGCGGCTCAGACTCCGAAGATGCCAACGTGCGTACGGTGCTAGTGTAGTGTTGTGCGATTGATTGCTCGTTGATGATGATGCTGCTGCTATTGTTGTCGACGCTTCCTTAAGTGTTCTTTTGCCACGGGAATACGTGCTAACTTAGACCCTGGACTTCTGTCTCAGGTCGGAGGCGGGAACGACGACACGGGCAGTGAGCAGGAGAGCGGATCTACTAGCAGAGGTTCGTCCACGGACACGGAAGGAGGGGGCTACGGGGGCCTAGGTGGCGGCGGCTTCGGGTTGGACGATGACGACGACGATGCCCTCGAGGCGTATGATCTCTGGGACGATCAGGACGATCTCGCCAAGGTTGCTGAGCCGGTGTATCTCGACCAGCTCATCGAGAGTGAGTCGTGTGCTGTCACGCACTCGGTCGGCCTTTTCTGTCTGCTTGAGTTTAAGAATGCAGCGATTGTTTTCTTGGCTTTTGTTTGCCGTTGTCGTCGATGTCCTCGTTGTTGCTGCTGTGCTTCGCTAGCCTCCGCCGCCCGACACCGGTTGGTTTTACTTGTTTCAGCATTTGAGGGCTATCCAGCTGCGTTCTAGCCCTCCTGTGTTTTCGGTTGGTGATGGGTCAGATGTGGTCGACCGCCGACTTTCGCCGTTAGAATTCTCTGTCCTGCTCCTTCCATTTTTTCCCTTAACTTTTTTCTGACAGTGGTAGCGGGATGATCCTTGTATCTGTTGCGTTTTTCTCCCTCGGCATGTTGCCAAGCGATGGGGACAAACGTACCGACAGCCTCCCAGCATCATAGTTGATGCGCTCACCCGCTGCGTCATATCCGTCCCTACCTCCCAGGCGTTCCGTGGGACGGAGATCTTACCGTTACCGTATGCTTGCTTTCCAAGTCTTTGCCTTTTCACATTGCCTCCAACCGCTGTTTAATGGCGTATACCTCTCCCTGCCGACCCTGCAGTGCTGCGTTCCCGGGAAAAACCGGACACAGCGGATCAGCACGAGACGGCCCTCAGGTGCGCCGAGAATCTCGTGCGGCGCAACCCCCCCGACTTGGCGCACCGAGCGCCGGAGCTCTCGAGGGACCTTCTCTACCTGGAGGACTCCTTCGACCTTGAGGTACAAGAACGGCAACGTGCATAAGAGGCAATGCTGCAATCAAAAGCATTCAACGTCATCCTATAGCGTACGACGGCAGTCGGGTAGCGTGCAATAGGGTTACCAGCGCGCCCAGAGGCATTCAGCGGCACTAAGTGTCATTGGCGGCGGTGTTTACGGTGAACGATACTGCTGTTTTTTACGAAACAGCCCCCGTACGGCAAACTTGGCAACCGTAGTCAACGTGGCACCACCGTGCAGTAGTCCGCCACTCAATTGCCCTGCTCGACGGGCATCAGCCCCACGCCCTCGAAACCACTTCGATTCGCTCGCTCTTGTTTGTATTTGTTGTGCCATTTCTGGAATGTCGCTCGCAGTCTAGCTGCCGGTCGTTGATGCCGTTCAAACTCGCGCCGCCCTGCCGTATCAGCTCGCTTAGAACTACGATCAGGCTCATTCTGACAATCACGTTCGGGCGAATGTCAAGCTTTTAGCTTCGGGCGCAGGTCAAACATTTTCTATAAAGGAACATGAAGGAAATGGAGTTGAACTGGGCTCGTGAGCCTTCTTTCTTACAACTTTGTTTCTCGTGAATGGGGACCGATGCCGTCTCTGCTAAATAGAGGGTTTCGGGGTTACCAACTAGACCACCGGATTCTTGCGCTTGATGCTCACTAGTGTTTCGAGACGCGGCGTTCCGGAGCGCTTGTGGCGACGGTGGCGGCTGCGCCAGAGAGCTGCGCCCTCTACTTGGGGAGTGAGGTGTGGGGAACTGGGGCAACGGAGGGCACGAAAATGCAGGTAAGAGAACGGTGTTTTTTGTCGCTCTCTTCGTATTGGGAGGGGAGCTAAGCTACCCGCCCTTGGGCATGTAAGCAGCCAGTGTACAATCGCGAGCGTGGAACATTGTGTTCAATCCACACGTGGCGGTGTACGCGACGGACAACAATAAGCAAAAGCCAACACACGTATCGACGTGTATGATGGTGGCTTCGTTCGTGGGCGGACAACGGGAAGTTGTTTTTGGTACAGATTTCCAAATTTAACAGTTGTAAAGGGCGTCGGTATGATCTTTCCAATGACCCGCTCTCGGACACCGACGCCCAAAAGGGCTATGTACCGAACGCGGGACGTACCGCTACCTCCGAGAGACCCAACGGAAGCCGTATGCGTATCTCACAGCACGGATGACATGCACCCGTCAAGCGTCCGACCTATGGCAAGTACCATGGTATCAATGTCTCCTGCCCTTGGGATAAAGGCGTGTAGTAGCAGGGCAGCTTCGGCAAAGCGGGCTCAACTCGCCGTCTCGAGAAGGAATGGTCTTTACCCGCCGTCTCAACTCAAATTTTCACACCTATTTCGAACAGACTGAATCACGTTGCCTCGAGAAACCCGTACTCAATAGTCTACGGCGCCTGCGCTGGTCGTCTCCCTCAGCCACCAAGCAGACCCTTGCCTCGACCTAAAATGTTGTCCAAACTCGCGCTGTCGCCTGAAGCACACTATGCTGGTCACATTTTCTGTTCCGTGTGGGGGTGACAAGGTTGTCATCACACCTTACTCACCCCCACGTCATGTTTTTGACGCACCTTTACCGCCTTCGGCGGCTTTGCTTTGACCGATCATGCCGCCAAACAAGCACCGCGACATCTTTGCTCTCGAAACCCGCAAAACAGATCCTGGACGTTCTGGTGCAAGCCGCTAGCGAACTGGCTGGCTGGACGAGGCCCAGCGGTGGTGGTGTGGGCGATAGTGATGGTTCGCATGGAGGACACCCCTCTTCCTCCGGAGGCAGCTACCCGTCCGCCCTCCTACAAGAGGCGAGGGGGGCGACCCCCCAGGGTAGCATCAGACGGCAGCAGCTGGACAGCCAGCAACAGCGTGGGCCATCGGCCACGCACGGGCTTTCCGCCTCAGCTGTTGCTGCAGCCCCTTCCGCTCGGAACGAAGGTGTCAGGGATAGGCCTGGCTCTAAAGAAGGGAAATCGCGTGAAGGCACTAGCGGAGGAAGCTCGAGGGCGGCGAAAGGGGAAGGGGCGGCGTCGGTTGGCGGCACTACCAGGAGATGGGGGTACAGGCGTGGGCCGAGAGAGCAGCTCCGGCGGAATCTGTTCGGCAGGCTTGCCCCGGTCTTTTTCTACCCTCTCGCGCAGGTGTGTCAATAAAGTCTCAATCCCGGCTGCAGCAGTTGTTTCAGCATTGTGTTTCAGGGCTTAAATTGCCTAATTTCCGATGGATCGACATGTCCCCCTTGAACCCGGCAACACTGTTAGCCGCCATGCGCCACTGCGAAGGACTGGGTTTTCTCCATTGAATGTTGTACTTCAGCAGAATTTTTGTGGGAGTGAACCGGAAGTGCCGTGGTTCGAGGGATGGCGGCAAAAACGAACTGTACCTACCCAGCGTGGGGAGCGTTCTGCCCGCCTTTCCGCCCCGCCCCGCGCCTTTGTCGCTTCGCACCCCGGTACCCCGGGCGCCTTCCTTCTTACCGCTCTCCAACACTGCTGTGCGTTCTTTCATGCCTTGATTTGGTTCCCGCATTCTTGGCGGTGCAGGGGATGGTGCTCCGCTTGCGCGAGTCGACAACCACGGCCCCGTCAAATCACGGCCAGCGACGCTCCCAAGAGGTGGGACGAACAATTGCAGCAGCCGCAGCGGCGGCCTCCGCTGACGACGCTCCCTACACGCTGCCGAGTGCCACGCCGCTGCCGCCGCCGCCGCCATCCCCGCTGTTCTCGGCGAGACTGCTTCACTGCTTGACCTGCCTGGTGGAGTTGTGCGGGAACTGCCCGGCCACGCCGGCGCTTGCGGCTGACCTGCTGGGGCTGGCGTGGCTGCTGCGGGGACCTGCTTCCGACAGCCGCGAGCTTCGCCGGTAGGTTAGGCATCGTATCTGTTGCATCTGTTTGGAACACGCTTGTGCAGTCACCTGACGAAGGGGGTCTCTTGGGACATTCACCAGGGTGAAGAGATATCAGCCTCAAGCGCCTATCGCCTGTTTGTGTATGGGACGAGACGAGAAGCAAAGGTTACCCGTCTCGAAACTGAATTCGTGCCTGCCACTGAAACCAACGAGAACAATAACAGCAATAATTACGGATTTCCGGTCGAGTAGCCCACGAAGGCAATCCTCCCGTGGACAAGCAACCTCTCCCGATGCTGGCCGTGTGGCCTACATGTAGCTACTGCCGTCTTTTGGCTAGATAGTGCATCCGCTTATTCGGCTCCCCTCCCCTCTCCGTCCTCTCTTGTCCAACCCCTCAAAGGGCCGTGCTGATTGCGGTGGCCACGGGTGTGGAAAGATCTCAAGACGGAGCCGCGTCTGGAGCGGTGCAGGGACAGCAGGGGGAGTTCTTGCGATGGTTGCAGGCGTGCGCTCAAGGGTCAGACGGGGGGACAAGGGAGCTGGCGGGAGCCGTGTTGGGGCACAGCAGCGTTCAGGCGCTAGCGTACTTGTAGTCAGTTGGAACTTCCCCCCAACAAGTGTCGTTGTAGGTCGTCTCTGTTCAAGACTACAGCGGTACGGAGTATCTAAGGACTCTGAACAAGTAGCTTGGCTCTTTTCCCCTTGTATTCTATCACTACACGCCAGGGGTCTTGTTGATTTCACCGTTCCCGCTGACCAAGACACGGCCTGTAAGTGCATTACTTCTCTGTCTGCTGCAGTTTGTCTCGGTGACGAAAACGATTGTCTTTGGCGAGAGAAGCAGTTGGTTTTGTTTTCGGGTGCACGTGTCGGCCTTTGCAATTCATCGCCGGCCGTGGCATGGTAGTGCATCTTATTAGTGCGTGCTGCCCAGGGGAGATGCAAGCTCGTGATAATATTGATTGGTGGGTTTGCACACTCAGGCAATCGCTTGGTTATTGGTCACGAGACCCTACGCGAGACTCGATTTCCGGCAGATTCTTCCGGGCTCGGTCTCTGGTTGTGCTGGGGGTAAACCTTGCATGTCATGTGAAAAATTAGAATACCTCGCATGCCTCGTACTTGGCCGCTATTTTTTCGTTATCCTTTCCAGATTTTTGTCCTGTGTAATGCCAAACACGTCCTACCTGTAGGTATTCGATGATGCCTGTCAGTATTTCCCAATGACTGGCTTCTTTAGAATGAACGTGTTGCGGCAGCAGGAGAAGTGTGGGGTAGACAATAATTGATGTTTCCCCAACCTTGCTCTTTCGGTGCTCGCCCACATTCATCTGTCTTGAGAAGGACTCAGCCGTCCCTTCTCCTCGTCGAACGCAACGTCGACTTTTGTGTACCCACCAGCTGGCCGTACTTTCCCATTGGTTGGTACGATTCGAACCTCTCCCTTTGGTGGTGCAGCACGCCAGAGCACTGGACGACGGTGCCCCCTCGCTGAATCGTTCTTGTTCTCCCATATGGTGCACAGAGAGCGTGAGGACATAAAGTGAGATCATACCAGACGTCACGGCACGGAGACTCATGGAAGAACGTTGCAGAACAACGTCGGCACCTGGTAGGGTACTTCTAGAGATCAGGCGTGCATGTCGCGACACGTGCCGAACAAGCACCGAGAACCCCTTTCGTTGTAGCGAGAGCGCGGACGACAGAGACAACTTGAGTGATGCCTCACGGGGAACAACGTCGACCATCGGGCGGCGCGTGGTGTTCGCAGGAGGGAATCAGCCGGTCTATGGATATATTTTTGACTCTCATATAGAACGGTTAGAAAACCTTAGGATGTTTGCGCGTGTTATTTCGCATTCCTTAGGGTGTTCGAATCACGCCTAGCCCTGCATGGCTCTAATCAGAGAAAATGAATGCGGCGGGATGGCCATCACCCGTGGAATAATATGAGAAAACTTCAGGTTGCGGCCCCAAAACTGAACAACGAAAAATACCCGAAATAAAATAACAAACCACACCCAATTCTTCCCCTATTGCCCGAACCTTGGCATACATACGTTATCCCAACTATTATCCCAACTACATATGTAAATTACCATTAAACATGTTTGTTTGTCCTAAATGCAGAACACGAGCAATACCAAAGATTGAAGCCGTGCGTTGGCAATGAAAGACCCATAATAGACACCACACGGGAATCGCAGAAGAACTAGAAATACCGACAAGCACCGCCACCACGGCAGTATAAACGGCACGTTGCAACCCAAAACCGTGTTGCCTTATGATTGATTTCGAAGGCTCGTTCTTCTTGAAGCCGCATATGCACACAAAAAAAGCGAGCACCAATTCCCACACTCACCACACAACGGCGGCGAAAAACGGCATTGACCCCCCTCCTCTTCTTCGATGCACCCCCACACGTGGGGTTGGGTTTTCGTCGCTAGGCAACGGCGTTGTAAAACACGTCGATCGATCGCTTCGTGAGCTCGACAACAAGGTTGCCGCTTTTTGTTGCCTTGTTTTTGTTTTGCAGTGGTAGCCGTAAATGGCGGTCCAGCACATACGGTAGATCATGTTGTGCGGGGCCGAGAACCCTCACTCCGCGCAATAAAGAGTCCAGCGGCACAACAAGTGAGTTCGTCCGCTGCGCTGCAGCTGTAGCTTACGTACAGGTCCACACGCAGCCTTGAGTTTTTCTTTGACCTATGACCAGACTACGTAAATAAGATTGCATTCACATCGGGTGCTCTGCTTTCGTACATCAGTGGCCAGCAACGCACGTTTGCTCGCGCGACACCTTGGGGAGAGAGCACGCACCAACTCAAGCACAATAAGGACATATACTTTCGACAACAGTCAACACACACCTCCGTCGAGCACCGAAACGCGAATATCGTCAACGTCCACAAGCCCACATCCCAAGAATGCCCACTCAAGAGCGAGCGGGTTACGAACAGTAACACCAGTTCCCACGCTCACCACAGCGACGTGATCGCCGTAGGGTGTGCGTTGCAACGCAGGATGTAGAGCGACAAGGGAAACAGCCAGTACAACTGGGTTCGCTTGCCGTGATGCGTGTCTACCCTGGGTTAACCCTTCTGCCCCCCACCAACGTCTTTTCTCCACCAAATGTGCACGAACGTCTCGAAAGCTCGGTGCCAGGAAGTTGTTATATTCCGCTCAACCAGCTAACCCTAGATGGCCTCCGCGACGTTCGCGCGGGTGGCTCCTACGCAATTAATATCGCTTTCGAGCATATCTTGTCACGAAGCGAAGGAGTCACAAAATGGCGGGTGTTCGGGCTACCAACTCGGGAAGATTGCATGGTCATCATGGGCTTCTTCGTTGAAAGCGCTGGGCCTGTCTTGCATGGAGAGAAATAATGCTAACTACACGCGTACCCCTGTTCTACCTTGCGCAGAATAACCCGTACAACTGGAGGCGTGCCTCGACATATGTCACAGCAGCCTAAACCCTCCACGAGTCACACTTCGTAAGGTGGCCGACCATACCACTCCGACGATAGGTTGGCGAAAGTTGCGCCCAAACGATAGCTGCTGCAGGAAGGCCGGCCACACCACTCCGACGATGGGTTGGTTGAATTCGCGCCCAAACGATAGCTGGCGCAGGGAGGCCGGCCACACCACTCCGACGATGGGTTGGTTGAATTCGCGCCCAAACGATAGCTGGCGCAGGGAGGCCGGCCACACGACTTTGGCGATAGGGTGGTCGAACTCATCACCAAACGATAGCTGCTGCAGGGAGGTCGGCCACACGGTTCCGTCGATAGGCTGGTTGAAACTATCCCCAAATGAGAGCTGCTGCAGGAAGGCCGGCCACATGACTTCGGTGATGATCTGGTTGAAGCGAGATCCAAACGACAGCTGCTGCAAGGAGGCAGGCCACACGACTTCGGCGATGGGCCCGTTGAAGGCAGAGCCAAACGATAGGCGCTTCAGGGAGGCAGGCCACTCGACGTTGGCGATGGAATGGTTGAAATTAACTCCAAATGACAGCTGCTGCAGGGAGGCAGGCCACACGACTTCGGCAATGGGCCGGTTGAAGGCAGTTCCGAACGATAGCCGATGCAGGGAGGCAGGCCACGACGCCTTGTTCACAGGCATATTCGAATCGAATACCAGCGATGTGAGCCTTTGAGGCCAAACCAGCGATTCATAGCCAAATGCTGCAGATGAAGGTTCCGTTAGCTGCCCACATTCTGACCCTGACCCCAGCTCAAGGGTTGAACTTTGCATCAGAAAATCCATCGGAAGTGCAAACGTCAATCCGAAGGGCTCAATAGCCGGCACACGACTCGAGATGCGAACCTCTGGAGTGCTCTTGTTGGGTGTGGTGTGTGGCGTGCAAAGAGGCCACAAACGAGGGGGCGTTTGCCGATTGACTCGCATGTGCAAGGTCGGGACACTTCTGCACGCCCCGCAAAGCGCCAGGGACACAAGCTGTAGCTCCAGCGTAGATGCATACCAACGCCCATCGCAAGCCTGGTTCAAGGCAACGACGAAGGCGTCCAAGCATCCGCTCCTGCCTGAGACAGTAAAGGGCAGATACACACACACGTATACGTAGCAACGCAAACGAAAAATGGCTTGTGGGCCTTGGAAGAAGTGTTGATTGCGCGACTGGGTGGGTGATAGACAGAACCAATAAAATGAACGAGAGGGGGGGAGATTCTCCCAGTCGATGCGAAGAAGATCACGGCCACCAGAAAATGGGCAATAACAGCCCTTGATAATCAAACACAGCGATATCCTGTGGCTGGTCGCCTGGTCGTGTCTGTTCGTGTTGGACACCCTCCTCAGAGCACAATTACAGTTGGGACCGGCTAACGTACCATTCGGTGGACTGTTGCAAGAGAAATCACCTGATTCCCCGGCTACAGCGTTGATGAAGTGAGCCTTGTGCGTGTTGTGCGTGCAACTGACTTCACGTCGATTGAAACCGCTAATCTTGAAACAGAAACATCAATTGTAAGCCTATCACGCCGTTCATTACCGGCGATGCTGGGTCCCCAAGCGCGACTCACTACTCTCTGCTCGTGCCTCTGCACCGTCAACAATGGCCTGTGTCTAAACTGTCGAAGAAGATGTTGTTGCTGACTGGTGTGCTAGCGAATTTTTTCCAGGAAGAACGTGGACAATCGAAAAGTTCTGGAAAGGTGTCTCGGCTCGATCGGTATTTATTCCTTGGGCAAGAGTCAAGTTCGACAGCAGCAATTCTGCCAAGTTCGAAAGCAGCAATTCTGTCTCTGCTGGGGAAGCAATGATTCTCGCCTTGATTTCAATACTGGCCCCGGCAAAACGCCTTCAGGTATTTTGTGATTCTACTTTTTTCTCCTCATCGACCACGCTCCCACATGTTTCCCTACCCTTGCTACCGACAAAACGTGTGAAACGCTTGGGTTCAAACATCAAAGGCGGTAGACAGTAGCAGTACCAGAGAGAAGGGCGATGCGAAGCCCCAAACTACTTACAAACGTCCTCTGAGGGTCCTCTGTGTGACAGTTAGTGGATTGAGCAGAAGCATTTGGGAGAATTTTCGCAAATGCCTCATGCCGCGGACGGTTGCCGCG